TAAGCTGTATTCCCAGCCCCCCTCCCCCGCCCACCTTCCTTCCTTTCTTTCAAATTTTCTTAGAACATATTTATTTATATGTTTACTTTGTGCAAGCGTCTATCACGTGCCACGTCGAGGCCACAGGACAGCATTTGAGTCACTACTTTTCCTCCCACTATATAGGTTCCCAGGGAGTGAACTCAGGTTGTCTGGCTTGGGGCAAAGCACCTTCACCCACGACGCTGTCCCAGCCGGTCATTGCTTCTTCCCTCCTAAGTAGAAGGGAAGAAGAGGGATGGAAAAATGAAGACATTCTTTTTTACTTCTAGCGGTGGATATGTTTGTTTTGGGTTTTACTTGTCTATGTATTATTTTTTATTTAGAGAGTCTCACTCTGGAGCCCCAGCTGGCCTCGTTCATGGCAAGTCTGTGCTGGGCCTCGGAGTGCTGGAACTACTATTGCAGGCCACCGCACCCAGCTAACCAACAGAGGCACTGGTCCAGGGAACGCTGTGGCTCCCGTGCCTTTCAGAGCCATCTACACTTGACAGATCATTCAAGCGTCTTGCACCTGTGTTTTTCTGTACTCGCGCTCAAACTCCAGGATGAATAGCAGAATTAGGGACTGCAAGAGGTGGCTCAGTGGTTAAGAGCACTGGCTGTTCTTCCAGAGGACCCAGGTTCAATTCCCAGCATCCACATGATAGCTCACAACTATCTGTAATTCCAGTTCCAGAGGATCTGATGCCATCTTCTGGTCTACAGATACACATGCAGGCAACACACACACACACACACACACACACACACACGAGAGAGAGACAGAGAGACAGAGAGACAGAAAGAGATTAAGGGTAGAGAGATACAAGCAAATCTTTAAACTTGTAAATACACAAATATCCAAATAACATATTAGACATTAGTGTTCTTGATTAAAACAAGACAAAAGAAAACAAAACAAAAAACCCTTCATTTGAATGTGTTTTGCTTGGGGAATTTGTAAGCTCAACAATCAACGTAAGAAAATTAAATCTATGCCCTTAATGGTAACGATATTTATAGTGCCCTACTTTAAAGCTGCGCTGGTTCTCAAGAGTTTTACCAGACTAACTTGTGTTTATTTTTAAGACAACAAAGATATCAGAGTCGTAGATATTGTCATATTTAATCTGATTTTCAAACTAAACTCATGTTAAGCAAAAAACAAAACCTAAGATTCTCAAAGAAAATCAGAATTCTTTTTATGGGATTTTCTTGAGAATAGTGTATCCTGTTTCATGCAGAGCCAATGGCTAGCCACCCACAAGGAAACCTGTTACAGATAGGTTTTCTGTCTATATTCTAAATGTCCTGGGGTTTGTGGAGTTTGGGCCATAAACCTGTTACACAAAGTTATTTCTTTATTTTTTTTTCCATTTAAACATCTTGTAAACCCACTTGTCTCCTGTTGGAACTCCTCTGGTATTATTAAGTTTCACAAAAGGAAATAATACACCGTGTTTGTTTCCATTGGCTCTGGCCTTGACTTCCAACAGTGAGCATGTGGGCTAGGAGTCCCCAGAAGGGCCCGAGAGAGGATTAATATGTATCGCAGTGATAAAAATCTTCTGCTCCTTCATCCCTACCCTCACTCGGTGTGTTAGTGCTGGCAGATGGCCTCCGCTGGATCAAACACAGAAGAAAAGCCCTACTGTTTCTCCAAATGCGTAGGTACGTCATCGAGCTTCTGAGCGTAGATCATGCCTGTTTCATCCCAGGTGTCTCACATCTGGAACTAATCCTGGGGTGACCACCACTATAAAGCGGGGAGGAGCCTTTGCCGACTTTCCTCCCAGTCTTGCTGCAAAACACTCAATAAGAGCCTGGCCTTGGAATGTGAAAGCTGTTAGTCTTTCGGAGGCGAGGAGGCAGTCTGAGGAGCGGCAATGAAAGCCATAGCTCAGGACATCAATGCCATGACCGGGCTTCGTTTCCCCGGGATCATAGAAACGTCCATCCATATTTGCTTAGTCATAGGTGGAGAATGCTAGAATGCTATCCTTCCTTGGGCTCTTTCAGGTACAGTAAACGTAACTGTAGATACAGAAATCTTATCCCATTGTTGGCTGTAAGAGCTATGATAGCAATACTGGCGTACTGATGAGTCAGCCAAGGACGCTGCCGACTCAACACAATTATCATTTTCTGTGGCCAGTCATCCTGGACCACACAAAGGTGGAAAAATGGCCCATCCCACAGGTAGCCATAGAGTTCAACACTCCGATTCAAGCAACTCCACCACCATGGCAAATGCCACTGATTTCTGAGCCAGGAATAAAAAACCGGAGCCAAGGCTCCAGTGTTGACCAAGTCTCACCCGAAGGAACAGTTTTTGCTTCCCTTCACCAGTCTTGCTCCCCTGCAGTGGAATACTGAAGAGTTAAAAGAACCTAAGCTAGGGGCCGGAGAGATGGCTCAGAGGTTAAGAGCACTGGCTGCTCTTCCAAAGGTCCTGAGTTCAATTCCCAGCAACCATGTGGTGGCTCACAACCATCTATGAGACCTGGTCACTCTTCTGGCCTGCAGACGTACAGAACATTGTATACATAATAAATAAATTAATTAAAAAAACCTAAGCTACAAAACAATAGAGCAGGAATACATGTGAATCACACAAACTATAACACATACATACATACACACATACACACCAATCTGCCAAACTCCTGAAGCATTGCTGCTGTACTGTGGCTAAAGATGACACATTTTTTGAAAATGGCCTCCAGCAATTCTTCTGCTGCCCCAGGATTTCTCGTGTATAATTAACTCTCAGATTTGATGATTTTTAAATTTTTTTTTTCACATCTCACTTTTGTGGGGGAGGGGGTAGATGCAGCTGCCATGCCACATGAGTAAATGTGACTGGCAGTTTTGCAGATTTTCAGTATTTTGAAAGCAACTGGTATCAACACACATAAATGACTAACACTGGTCAGCCACAAGTGGGTCAGACGAAGTGACGTGGCTGAAGAAGATTCCGGAAAGCAAGGGTTCCATTAGCGACACTGTGATTGAAGAGGTGGGGAGAAGGCGGCCTCCAACAGCGGGTTAGAGGAGAACTTCCTTTCTCCAGTTTCTTGTGTGGTATCTAATCTCCGGGTTCTCATTTCCTCAGTCATCGGATAATTATGAAACTCTAAATAAAGTGTCATCTTTCCAGCAACAAATCAATGAGCAGAAAAGCCCTCATCAACTTACAGATGTTCCCTAAAGCGCCTGCGGATCATTTGCAAGTTGTGTAACCCACAGACCATATGGGCTGCTCTTCAGAAGCCTTTCTTCCACAAGTGCTGAGGCTGTGTGTGTGTGCACGCGCGCCTGTGTGTGGTGTGTGTGTGTGTTTCAAAAGAAGATTAAAGAGTAACGTGAGAGGGGCTGAAGAGGTGGCCCATAGATCGAGAGCACCGGCTGTCCTTCCGGGAGACCCAGGTTTGGTGCCCAGCATTCACATAACAGCTCATGACTGTCTGTAACTCCCAGTTTCAGGGAACCCAGTGCCTTCTGACTGCTGTGGGCACCAGGCAAGCATGTGGTCCACAGACACACAGGCAAATCTGCACACGCAGAAAATACTTTCTCTTAAAAGGAAGTAATACGATATTGACAGTAGGATGACCACAAATTGTCTGTCCACTGCCCATTTAATGTTGAAGTTTAGACCTGTCCTAATGTTGTGATGTAAATAGGAAAATATATGTATATTTGTCTATACAAATCTTATATTTGCATTCCATATCACATATTTTACAACAACATAACAGCTACAGTCCCTATTATATTCAGGGCTTCCCTCTCTCTGTAATAGAATTTAAATTCCACTTTTATTCTTTATACAATCCTTATGATAATACAAAGGCGAACTCATGAAAATAAAGAAAATCTATGGATCATTAACTAAGCCTCCATGTGCATAACTAAGCCTAAACTTATCTACTAATGAAGTAATGCTATGGAGGAGTTTAATTTCAACACTTCGCAGCCTACCAAAAATTAGATAGCCCCACTTCAAAAAAAAAAAAAAAAAGTACCCATCTTCAGCATTCTGCCTCTTTCAATTATTCAGGGCAACCCAGGCTGATAATTACACAGTCCCCAGTTGCTGAGTAAAAGTGATGCTTAATTAGCCAGCAGGAAAGGTCGATTAAGATCCAGCAGGGCACCTCGTGAGGGTCTCTCACACTCCTGCAGGGAATAGATTCTGACTGTGCCCTTCCCAAGGATGGAAGTTTCCACCGGTGTTGAAAGTCGAAGCTATGCAAATCAGATCCCAACCCTAACCCTGCGCTCTCAGAGTGTTCAGCTCCCAGGTTCAGAATCACAGTATCACCCAGGTAGCAGAGGACAGAGGAGGAACCATCCTGCCGCCTTTAGCTGCTGCCTTCCGAGAAAAGTCAGCCAGGAAATGGACTGTAAAGGAAATTTTGATTTCTTCCTCCCCTAAGGAAGTCTATGTTTCCAGCATCTATTAGCTGCCCACACTCTAAGATGAGCAAATGGGATCAGAGCTTCTTATTTTAATGAGCACGTGTTCCAACCCAGTCTGGAACTAATACACATCAGTGCGATCAAAAAATCGACTAACCAGGCCCGATTGGAACTTTTCTGTTGCAGAGGGGATGTGAAAGTAAAGTCGGCCCCCAAACCACGAGAAGTCTCTTCCCTGCCACTCTCTCTTTAGTGATCTGAACAAGCAGAAATGTCCCGATTTCACCACTAGGCTTCTGCCGCTGTCAGACACAAAGGTGTTTGTTCCATAAATGCTAACATAAAATACAAAGCCAAAATCAGCCTGACTATTTTACGACAACCACCAAAACGTGTTTGTGCTGGTAAACTTCAATATGCTCAGCTACCTCCAAATCGATTTGTAAATCTCTGCCAAGTACAAAAACCTGTGGCAGGTGCACGCTACTGTTAACTTATCCTGTGGCGAAGGAGATTTTTCCTGAAGAAGCTGACCGAGGCGGGCTGGTACAAACCTGGATCTGATTTGCTGGAAGCCCCGGAGGATGTGGTCTCTCTGGTCCTGCGCACCGGCACTGAGGTTCTCGTTCCGCAAGCCCTCTGCCAGGAAGTCTTCGGCATCTAAAGGGAAAGAACAGGTGATCAGAGGAAGAGGGGGAAGGGGGGAGGAAAAAGAAGCTGAGCGATTAGGAAATGAATGCTGCTCCCTGCGTAAGCCTTGATGGCTGAACAATGTGAGCACTAACAGACCAAAGGCGTCATCTACTTAATAGCGGCCCAGATGCTAAATTCCTATTAGGTGTAGTTCGCCATCATAAAGAACAACCAAGATTCTGTACGTCTCCGTCAATGACACGTGCTAACAATCCAAGACCTTGCTGGGGATCTCGAAAGCTGCTGCATACATTAGCCACAGGAGATAACTGGTTTTTGAAACCATTTTTTAAAAGTGATGCTTACATACTTGATGGCCACTGATGGCAGAGGATGGATTGTCAATTTCACAAACATGTAAATATTATAAATAAGTCACAGAAGGTCACAGACCAATAAGAGTCGAAGAGAAGTCCCGGTAATTGCAGCTGAAATAAAAAATAGAGCTGAACTGCGAATCAAGAACAAGAAAAAAGGGCAGGCGTTCGGAGGAGACACATTAATTAGCAGATACATCATCAATGAAAATGACAGTGTGGCCAAGTGAAGGAGCCCACACGGAAAAGAAAAATGCAGCCGAGAGAGGGAAATTGCAATTAATGTGAATGCACATTATAAAATAAGAACATGATGGAAATGCACACTACAAAACAAATCTTGTTATGGTGAAGGAGGAAATCTGAAGGTACACAAATTTTCAGAGACAAAATACATCGATAGCAATTACAATTGCCAGAAATACGAGCTACACACTTTACTCCCCATCACATGTTTATCATCCCTAAAAAGCATATAAATAATAGAGTTAAATCCGATGCCTCCAAAAAATAATTGTAGCCACAATATGAAACTGCATCACATACACCACTAGACTAATTTGATGTACTTATGCAGTTGGATTATGTAAGTACATCTGTGCATTTGTTTTACACTCAGCTACTCAATAACAGCAAACAGAAAAGTCTTATAACCATCACCAGGACTTCTGATGAGATACAAAGCCCTGGAGATTGAAATCCTCATAAAGAATCACCATGAGCATCTAAGCCCTGGATCACATCGACTGTAGATGTCATTTAATGGGTTCCTCCAGGGGGCTTTGAATGCTAAAGAACAAGAAAATGAGAAGTTGAATTAACAGACAAAAACAAAACAAAATACCAAAATGGAGGCATCTGAGACTCCATTTTAATGCAATACGTCATATTAATAGAAGGACAAAAACACACAATCATCTCAAGAGCAACAGAAAAATCATTTGACAAAATCCAGTGGTGTCTCATTATAAACACACTCAACTAACTATGTAAGGACAGAAACTTCCTCCGGCCAAGAAACAGCTTCTCCATAAACCCAGCTACTAGGGGCTGGAGGTATAGTTCCCCAGCCTGGCCCGCTAAGCATGTGTGAGACCCAAGACCACAGCTAACCTTGTACTTTATTGTGAGAGACTGGACGCTTCCCTCCCAGTTCTAAAGATCACAAACAACAATGGGGGCTGTCACCACTTATCGTCAGCATCGTCTTAGCGATACTAGCCAGGGCAATTAGACAAGAAAATGAAGTTTAAACATCCAGATTGGGAAGAAATGGAGTAAAACCATCTCCATTTGCCTCTGGTGTGATCTTCTATGCCAAAAACCCTGAGGTTCGCTGAAAATCCATTAGAATCAACACATTTATAAGGCATAAAGCCAGTGTAGAAGAATGAGCTGTGTTTTGACATTGACTTTTGGAATGTTCCTTTTTCTGTGCTTGGGATCAAACCCAGGGGTTTGCCTGTGCCAGGCAAGTTCTCTATCCTTGAGCCCCAGCACTAGTGACAATTGTATCAGCCACGAACAATCCAAAATAAAGTTAAGAAACTCTGAAGACATAATTTTAAATAATTTCTTAAGAATAAGCGTGCCCCCAAAAAGATTAAGTTTGCCAGGTTTGCCAAGACCAGAGAGATAGTTCAGTAGGTAAAATGCTTGTCACACAAGCAGGAGGACCTGAGTTTGATCCCCAGAGCCAGTGTGAAAAAGCTGAGTGTGATGTCCTGGACTTGTATGTGCAGTGCTGGGGAGGTGAAAACAAGACGCTCCCTGGGACTTGCTGGCCGCCAGGCTATCCAAATCGGTGCGCTCCAGAGCACCGAGACCTTGTTGGGGTGTGGTGGGGTGGCACAATTTTAAGAGACAAAGAAATATTTTTAAACCTTTTTACTCTCTTTAATCATGTGCTGTGTATGTGCACATGCGTACACGTGCCCAGAGTGTCAGCTCTCCCTGGACCTGGAGGCACGGGTCCTTACGAGCCACTCACTGCCGCTGTGGGAACTTCATTCAGTCTTTTGAAAGAGCAGTGTGTGTTCTTAAACACAGCGATAACTCCAATTCTGTAATGAGATACTTTACAAAGTGGGTTTCGAGTACTTCTGATTTTTTTCATTTGTGCTTACCCTTTTAAAATGCTATTTTCAAAAATGGGTTCTGTGTAAGTAAAACAAAATGCCATGCAAATAAATCTGAAAATCTCAATGAGACAGTCACTGAAAAAAAAAAAAGTAAATAAATTCCCAGGCCACCGTATGGCTCAATGGAAGAATGTGTGCTCAGCATACATAAGACCCTGAGTTCAATCCTCGGGACAGGATAGTACAAAGAAAAGTAAATCTAGGGACATTACGGTCACGCTGCTGAAAAGCAACGATAAAGAGAAAATCTTCAAAGCAGCCAGAGAAAATGACCCATCACATACAGTAGAGCCATGATAAGAATGAGACTTGAATTTTCATCAGAAATAACGGAGGTAAGGAGACATGGGAATGACACCCGAGAGAGCTGGAAGGGAAAAGAAAAGATAAAAGGCCTGGTCAACTCCAAATTCTGCACCCAGGGACAGCGGCCATCACAAGATGAAGGCGGAATCGAGGCAATTTTGAGGTCAATGAAAACCAGGAAATATTTTGCTAGGAAAGCTGCATGAAAGGAAACCTAACGGGAGTTCACCTTGCTGAAGACAGGTGACACCCGAGAAACGGCCCTGCAGGAGTGCCAAGGGGCCAAAAATGCTAAAAATACGGCTCCGTTTGAAACGTCCCCATGCTTGATTTTCTTGAAAGACTATTGGCGGTTTCAAGCACAGGCTGCAACAATGCAGTTTATTACATACATGCACGCATGTATACATACAATGCAGTTTATTACATACATGCACGCAAACATAGGTCTCAGAAACAGCGTCACAACAGCACAGAGGGCCGGGAAAACAGTAAACGAAAAATATTAACTCTCCGCAGATCGCCGTGAGTTAAACCACCAAATGGAGTCGCTGCAGCTGCCCTACCAAGTCAAACCAGGGGGCTCAGGTTTTTCTTTTTAAAACAACAGAGATGAAAGAGAATGCCCAAAAGCATTCGATTAAGATTGTACAGGCAAGTGTGACCAAACCACGGCAACTAGAAAATGAGTAATAAAATAAAGGTGGCTCTACCTGTGATAACAGAGGAAAATGACAAACAGATCCACCTCCCTAAAAGCAGAGGGAGACAGCTAACAGTCAGGATGTTCAGGAAAGCCTACGGAAACCTACTATTTTGCAAGCTTCCTTTAAAAGAGACGCACACTTGGTGGGGGCAGAATATGGTGTTAGCCTACATGGGAGGAGGATGTTCCAGTGCCAGGTGTGGATTACCTCCCATCAAGCTATTGGTGGTGATGGGGTTCCCAGAGACCCTCAAAACTGTGCAGCCGGCTACCACTGCTCTAAGTTGCCTATCAAAACTTGACAGTAAGGCCCTACTGCCGAATGCATCACATGGTCTGGAGAAATTAAGCTGGTGCTGTCCTGGAAGCATCCTGTTTGCTGGCCAGTTTTCACAGTACCAGAAGCTTTATGAGCTGTGAAGGCTGAGAGCTAATGATGACCAGCCTGGCAAGACAGTTTGTGGCGTAATAATGGCATGGATGTTATAGGAGGATCAATCACTTTTTGATTGGATTTAAGGCCTGCTCCACAGGAGAAAACTCATGCCTGATACAAAAATCAGCCAAAACCTATGACGAGGGAGCTTCCTAGGCCCTAGGGATGAATCTACTACAACTGAACTAAATGGACATACGCTTTGTAAATATGCCATTATAGCCATAGATGAGTGCAGCTCTCAGACCTCACCAGAGAAGCTTTTTAGTACAGACAACAGCCGTTCATGCAGAGACTCACAACTGGTCAAGGTACAGAGAACAGTTGTCTGTGGAGTGCTCAAGTAAAAACTGAAAAAGCCATTTGTATCACACTGCCCTCCCCTCAATGCTGAGAAACATTGTGGGACAAAGGACAAAAGACTGGATGAGTCACAGCCTGAAACAGTGTCTTCTGAACATGGCAAGACCCTTGCCCTGGGAACTCACAACACCTGCACGAGATCAAGACTGCCAACATTCCAGCATGGATGGAAAGGGCAGCCCAGCACCCACCCATAGCTGATGGCTTCTGGGGAAGGAAGAGTCAGTTAGAGGTGTGGTCTCCCTGGTAGATTAATCAGGATCCAGAGGATGGTCCCATACCATGAGTGAACGGGCAACACAAATTGGACTTGGTTAAGAGGACATGACGTTGAACGGGGTGTAGCAGGAACTCAAACAAGGCAGGAGCCTGCAGGACAGGAGCTGAAGCAGAGGCCATGGAGAGGTGTTGCTCACTGGCTTGCTCGCCATGGCTTTCTCAGTCTGCTTTCATCCTCCGCTCCCCCCTCCCTTTTTTAAGACATGTTTCTCTGTAGCTTTGGAGCCTGACCTGGAACTGGTCTTGTAGACCAGGCTGGCCTCAAATTTACAGAGATCCGCCTGCCTCTGCCTCCCAAGTGCTAGGATTAAAAGTGTGCACCACCACCGCCCGGCTCAGCCTGCTTTCTTACAGAACCCAGGACCACTAGATAGGGTGGCCCCACCCACAATGGGTTGGACCCTCCCCACATCAATCAC